TGATCCTGGATGTGTTATGATCATTTTATGTTTATGAACAGTAGTGCTCTTCAAAGCCAGCAGCAGGAAGGTGGCCCCATTTTCAGAGGTTTATTGAATTAACATGATTTAGATTCCTTTTGTTTTCATCCTAAATGTTTAGACTCGTCTTTCCTATAATGAAAGGTAATGTATAAAATTCAATTTTTGTTGACTGTCTTGTAAAAGATATAGTTTAAAATCTTTTACACACAAGCGCATGCTGCCGTTTGCTAAAGAGCTTGCCCATGTAAAACTAGGGTCCAGACATTACATAAACATCTGGCACCACAGGTGTTTCAATTTCAGTGTGTCACCACTATTAAAGTGCCCTGCTCCCATCAGCGCTAACCTGATTATACGTGTCATATTTTGAAAATGGGATTTGCTGGTTCTGTTCAGTTCCTAGCTGCCACACACACATGTTAAAGGCCTGACTAAAGTTACCTGCCTGCCAGGCACATTTGTTTTTTGTTTAGTTTTTTTCTCATATGTAAGCTGTTTTTGTCTATGTAGGTGTGAATGATAAGCCCCTTTTCAGACATTCAGAGATAACATTCATTAATCTTTAAAGTGAGAAAATTATGCTGTGCAGATGTATAGCACTTTTGTTAATGTTCTTTAATTGAAGACAAGTAAATTTTTGAATGTTTAGTTCTCTCCAATAGTGTAAAAAGGGGCAGGTTCTGTATTTGTACTGCATGGTGCTCCTTGGAGAGCTGTACCCTTCCCCTAACACATCCAGCCAGGGACAAACATTTCTCTTCTGGATCAGGAAAACCACATCATATACAACTCTTCAAATTATAGTCGTTACTGATTCAAGACACATGCACATTCACAGTCTTGCCATTATTGAAGAGAGACGATCAACGTTCAGACATGAAGCCGACAAGTTCAGTTGATTAATGGAAACAATTGCATGTCTGAAGCGGGGGGTTAGTGTGTTTGAGACCTCTGAACTTGAAGTTTTGTGTTCATTTGAGTGGAGGTCAAACTTGTATACTACTTGTATGTGTGTAATGCAGTGGCTCAGTGTGTGGGAGCTGCTGTGGAATGTTCCGGCTTATTAGGGTCGTAGGTATTCCTGCTTTATATTGGACTGCAGTGTGAGTGGATATTATATAAAGTTAGGGAAGGAGAAAAAAATGTTTATTTGCTGAGAATCTTCCCCACATGGACAGTTTTATTCTCACCAGGACTGAGAAGTTCTCCTGGCTTGCAGGAAAACCACTGAGCCTGCACCAAACCCTCTATGTTATACATATCTCCCTATTCTTGTTAGCCAAACCTTTGTCCCTCAACATGTTATAAGAGTCCCACCCCCCATATACCTGTAAATAAATACAGTCCTACTCCACAGGTGCATTCAGAGTCAACAGCAGTGTCTTTCTTTAGCCACAACTTTTTTTCTTACATAATGGTAATAAATGTTATGTTCAGATGAAGAGAAGTTAACGGAGCCACTGTAGACTGTTATCACGCACCTCTGTGACTCATTGTGTATTTAATTTAGCCCACGGGATAGTCTGTACACAAGGGTCATTGGTAAATTACATTATTGTTGATGCTTATGGTTGTCGAGATTATAATTAAACTGTACAATAAATGACTGCAAGTTCATTGAGCTGTTCTGTTTTCATATGTACAACCTGTACTGGTTTCTGAGCATTCTGTATAAGTTTTGTTACAACCCCGAACAAAATGAAATACTGCTGATAGAAAATCTGCACCATTAAACCTAAACACATTAGACAATTGGTGCCTCAATATATTCAAAATAAGAAAAGCGTACATTTGTTGGTATTTTTGTGACTGTGTTGTGATTCAGTCTTCTGCATCCTCCGTGTCTCTGCTCTGGAGGGCAACTGGACCCAGGAGTTCTTTAAACCCTGTGGTATTTCTAAAGGATTAAAAAATAGTGTTGAAATAAATGCGGTCAATATTAATTTGGTGTTGACTGGCAGATTCAAGAGGGTGTCATTTACCTATCTCTTTTAGACTGCATGACATAAGAGCGCTCTCTTCTGAGTTGCTCCAGACGCTCTTTCACAACAGTCTTCTGCTTGTTCTTATCTTCCTAAAAAGTAGACAATATGATAAGATAGCATGCTAATTCGTTGTTTTTTTGTTTTTTTTTAAGTATACAGTTCCTCAATATGTAGTTACCAGTGGTAGATCTTGAGTAAGGTGCTTTATCCTGTCTGTGTGTTTCAGGCCCAGCAGGTCTTCTTCTGCCTTTCTGTTCTGGATGATTGACAGGCGCTCCTGAACCTGAAAGACATGCTAACAATGTAACATCAATTCTGCTTTCATTTCTGAGTCATGAACATGCAGTGTCCCTCTCTACACCTTTGTCTCACCCTGAGCAGTTGCCTCTCTCTGTCTCTCTGTTGCCTTTGTTCAACTTTTCTTTGCATGTCCACTAGGTTGCGCATTGTCCTCTCTCTCTCCATTGCAGACACCGGTTCGCTCACTCGTTCTCTCTCCATCAGAGAAGCTTCCTTCTTTGCCTTACACTCTGACAGACTACAGTCTACCTGGAACATGGTGGGAAAATAGCTGGTTGTATGTTTTAAATGAGAACCGATCTAACCAGAATATATCAAGACTACTCTTACTGTTTCTTCCGAACAGTATTTCTGCTCCTTATAGCGATCAAGTTCAGGGTCTGTCATGTCCCACTGCTTGGACTCTGTTTCCACCTCAGTCACATCCCTGACATCCTTGCATGTCCCATAGCAGAAGCCGTCTGCATGTGGGTTAGCTTCAGAGGAATCAGCCATAGGGTGTGGCTGTGCAGCTTCCTTGCTCTCTGCCACCAAAGCATGTGTTTGTAAGCCACATTCAAATACAGCTTCTCCTTCATTTGGTTGATCGGCTGTTTGTCTGTTACTGAAGGCCAGCTAATAAAAATTCAGAAAGTGAACACATGAGTTCAGTGATAGTCACAGTGAATTACGTTCTACTACACTCTTATGAAGTACCTCTTCTACTGTGCTGTACTGCTGGTTTGCAGACTGTGTGTCACAGTGATCTGGAGTACCAGACTTCAACCCAGTAGG